CTATGTCTCCAGTGACCTTCAAACGCTCTTGTCGCCTAATAGGGTTTTATAAAATGGGTTCTTCTTGATGTCAGAAAGTCTGTGGAACCTACAGTAAATGTTTTAAAAATCAAAAGGTAACGAACGGCCTGGATAACTTGGCTATCCTCCAGCAGCCAAGCCACATTAAAAAAAAAAAAAAATCACGTGATAGGCTTAAGCCTTCCAGCCAGGATTTTTAACTCGGGACAGAGAGAGGCGGGACTCCATCGCCACTTCCGGCCCTTAGAGCGTGACTCAACGTCACTTCCTTAGCAATGCACTTTAACCCTTGCCAGCCTCGTTTTCTGTGCTGTTGTTTATAATCCAGTCATAGTGAAAAAAGGGAATAACTCGTTCGCTGACCGCGGAACCATTAACCTCCAAACGATCCGCAAAGGTTCAGGCCTGCGTCGTGCGGCGTGCCTGGGGAGGAGAGGCAGGGTGGAGCTTGAGGTCACATGACTAGCTAGGGCGGACCCGCCCCTTGCAGCTGAAGACTTCCCCCCCCGCAGTGACAGAGCCTCTGGGTCCGGTCTAGGTACTGGTCTGCACTTCGCGCCGCGGCGGGTCAGGTGCGACAGGTAACTGGCGACCGGGCGACGATTGACGGGCCGAGAGGAGATTGGGGATTGGGGAATGTGAACTGCGGTCTGCGGTGCTTGAGGCTCCTTTCCCCTTGTCATCCTGCACGGGCTAGGGGCTGCTTTCTCTAGATCTCCTGGACCCCTGGCCGGTCCCCGTAGTTCACTGACGAGGGACTAGGATGCCCACCTTTCCCTGGGTTGAGAGCGATGCGGCCATTATGGTTCCCTATTTGGAGTCTTTGGGGCTTCAGGTGGTAGGGTTGCTTTAGCCATTATTCGGGGTTTGCAACCACCTCCGGGTCCCAGTCCCCAAAGCTCCCTCCTTGGCAAAGGCCTTCGCCCGGCTGAGCAGGAAGATAGGAAAACCTGCTGGAGGCGAGGCGTCTCCGGTGAGACAGGCTTGGGAGGGAATGCCTCTGCCACGGCCCTCACTGCGGAGTCACTAAAGAGCTTCCCTGCGAATGTGCGTTCTCGGTGATTCCAAGGAATTTATCGGGTATCCTTGCAGAGAGGTGCAGTGCGTGTTCGCTTGCTCTGGATGAGTATGGAAGGGGCTTATAGCTTTTCCGTCTCGGAGAGAAGGCGGTTGTACTATCTTCAGAACAGGGTGTTTGGTAATGCGACGGTCTCAGTTGAATGGGAAGACGATGAGAGATGGTGTTGCCTGGTTGGGCTGCAGACCTAGGCTAGCTTATGGAAAAGTGATGAGGTTTTCTCGAAAGGGAAGTAATTCTTCAAAAACTGATCAAGCTGAAAACATAATTGATCCAAATTCATTTAGCTATAATTTGAAAGTAGGAAGATTAAGTCTACATACTACTGACTTCGCATTTTCTGCCTGTGTCATCGTTCCCTTTTTGGACTTTTTTTTCCTTAAATCCTAGATAATTGTCCCTCCCAGTCAATTCTAGGCCAGTTTAAATTTGTGAAATAACACTTGTGTTTTCAATTAGCTTTTGCATTAAAAAAATTCAAATGACCCCCTTTTGGCTTGCTATATAATATATTGTGAAAATTCGGGAATTATTTTGCCTAGGGTTGCCCAACCTTTCGTACTCCATTTTATATGCATGTAGTAGCCAATGTTTTCACCTCAAATAATGAGCTTTAGGAAAGGAATGCTTTTCAGTTTGTGGCTAAACTCTTTTATTTGTTGTGCAAACTTAGAAAGTTCCTTGTTTTAAATTGGAAGGCCTTACAAAATTACACATTTGGCTTTTATAACCTAGCTTATACATTTTCTTATATGAAATCAGATTTTTAGTTAATCTTAGTTCCAAGCAATATGACTGAAGAATCTATTTTTCAAAATCTGTGTACTGAGTACTGGTAACACAATTCTTACCTCCACGCATGCTTGAGGGGCAGCATCCAGTTCTCAATACTAAAAAGAAAAGAAAATAGGGAAAGATGGAATGGTTATCTTACAGTGATTGGGCAGACTGGATTTTTCACCTCCCAAAGTTTTTGAAATTACATGATCTTTATATTTTAACGAGAGCTAAAAGCTAAAACAAAACGACAGGAATTTAACAAAATAGGAAGACTGGCCTGATACTTCTTACTAAAAATATTATCTGGATGATCTTGCACTGCCTAGAAAAATCATGTTCGTTTTTGTACATGTATTTATAATTTTACCATTCTGTGATCTATACTAGACAATAGCTATTGATGTGTTTATATAACAAGTATAAATACAGTTCTTTCCTTTTCATTGCTAATCATTATTCTGTGGTATGGGTGGCATCACAGTTGTCTCAACCATTCACTTGTTACCATTTTGATTTGCATGTTTGTGCACGCCTGTGGAGGCCAGAGGTGTCTTCCTCTGTTCTTCCCCACCCTCACCCCTTTGCTCACTGATTCAGCAAGCCTAGCTGGCCAGCAAGCCCCAGGCATCCTCCTGTCTGTATTTGCCCCTGAGCACGGAGGTTTAAGAAACACCAACCCACTTCACTTTTACATGAATGTTGGGGAGCTGCACTCGGATTTTTATGCTTGCAAAGCAAGCACTTAAGTGACTGAGCCATCTCCTGAAATATAGTTTTAGCCATTATTTTTCTCCAGAAAAATAAAGTTCCCCGATCTCTTGAGGAGAGGGGAAAAAAAGGTGTTGCTTTCTTGCCCATGTGACATTTTACCAAATAAACAGAATTCCTAAGTGCTTCGGATGTCCAAGCCAGTCTGTGCAGGTGCACCAAAATGGACTAGAGAAAACCAGTTTAAAAGCACTGAGCACTAGAGGAGGAGAAGTTCATAGGAAAGAGATGGGATGAGTCTGCAGTTTTATTTCACAATGAATTGCTCCAATTTTAGGGAACTTGTGAAAGCAGTAACTTAGAGTACTGATGAAATCTAGAAGATTAGCAGTAGGATTTGGTGACTAAATAGCAACGGAGAGTCAATGGGGAAAGGTTTGACATTATATGCACACAGATGATTTGAGGATTGGAAGGCATCTCTGATACTGTGTAGTTTATGAGATTTCTGTGTGTGTCTGGGTGTGGTGGTGCATGCCTTTAATCCTAGCAATGGGAGGCAAAGAAAGCCTAGCAGATATCTGTGAGTCGAAGGCCGGCCTGGTCTATAAAGAGAGTTCTAGGCCAGCTAGAACAGAGAGAACATGTTTCAAAATGGGGAGAGAGAGATTTATATGCAGAAATTTATTTGGTGAATGAGTCCTCCATTAAGTAATATGTAAGAATCCCCCCCACCCCACACACACACCTGCACTGTGAGGTCTTAGTTTCACTGTCTTTATTGAATATCATAGCTGAAAAGGTTTTCTTCCTTTGGGCCAAGGTAGCCAGTCCCTTAGGGTACCACGCAGTAAATATTTTCTATTCCTTTATTTTTGCTTATAGATTATTTCTATGATTTGGGAACTCCTTTGTAAACTCCCTGCAGTGAAAAGGATAGTGTCTCTATTGCATTTTCTCCCCGAGAATGCTGAAGTGGATGAGGCCCTGTCCAAGCAAACAAAATGCTAAGGTTCCTGGTAGAATGTTGAGCAATTAACAAGTAAATTAAACCATTTAATTCTCATAGATTGTAGTTCCTTCTGAGGTTGTGTGCTAAGTATTAACTTTTTAATGCACGTTTCCAAATACTGGATAGAATAGACTTTGCATGGACTTTATAATACAGTAGCCAATTTACTTCCACAGTATGTTATGTTTATTGATAAGGCCTATGGTTATCATTCAATAGGAGAGGGCAGAGATAGTTGTACGAAATGGGGGAAAAAAATGGTTCTACAGAAACCACACATGCTTTGACAGTAAAGTCAGAGGATCTTCATTCAGCGTCCTGTCTTGGTCATGCGCCCTTTTGAGTGCACTGGATGCTGGAAGTTTCAGGGTTCTGTGCTGAGGAGCTTTCCTCCCAAGGGTATTGTGAGTTTGCATGAGATAACCTTACACAATCTATTTGATAGTAGTTTTAAACCTAGATGGTATGTGAGTGTAAAGCAATACAATTCAAATTTTACCTGAGTAGATTGCCTAATCACAGAGACCTGGGATTAGGTTTTAGCCTTCCCTGTTATTAGCTGTCTGGCCTTGGGCACTTAAAATAAAGTTTCCTTACAGTTAAATCTAGCCCATGGGTGTTATTAAAATAGATCATGCATATGCTGTGTTTAGTACACGTTTTATAACTTTTTTTTTAACGAAGGCCAACGCTAGCCTTGAACATGGTCACCCTCCTGTCTCCCTCCTAAGTGCTGGCATTACAGGTATGTGCTGCCACACTAGCAGAACTTCTTGCCAATTATACTGACATATGCTGAACTTCTAGGGAGACTAAGATGTTCAACACAGTGACAGATGCCCCGTTTTTGCACAAAAGATTTATCTTGCAGTGAGTGGACTAGAATTTGAAATGAGTTGATCATGAAAAAAATAGATCCAAACAACCACTTGTGACCTTTATTTTTTGAGACTGACTATGCTGTTACTCGGACTGCTTTCAAACCCCAGGTCTAA